GGAAAACAAGATGTGATCACGACTCCCGAATAACGATGAGATAATGAGGGGTATATTCAATGGGAGTAAGGTACAAATGTTTACGTTCTGTTAACATTGAATGCCGTTTCCCAACATTCTGCCGATTATTGAAGTACATAAATCATTCCTCATCTGATATCCTGACTAGAAGAACCGCTATGAAATCGTATTAAGCCAACTACCAAAGCCTGTAAGGCATGATATTGCTTGCAGGCCGTAGTAGGATTAGGGTGGTATATGATTATATACCAACATTAAAAAACTAACGCCGTGGTCCCAGGATGCCAAGTCGTGATCACGTCACGATTTTTTCAGAGTATTTGCTAACAGTCGTCATTCATGATCAGTTACTAAATCACAGTTCGTGAAGTATTTGCCACCACTATTTTGTATTACCCGAACCAATAGCGATAAAACATATTTTGGACTGGACTTACATATTTGTCGAGCTGATAAGCCCCGTTTTTTTAATCAGTAGTTATTAAATAAGTACATCGTCATGCTGTAGAAATATTATACGGTTACGCTTACAACAAGCAGCCATTTAGAATGTGCACAAAGTATAATTTGAGTTAACACCAATGGATTTATCAACGCCAGCTCACACCTATTATACAGGGTGTCATAGAAATAACACGCCAGAGTGACACGGGAGGTAGATTGGCTTCAGATCAATCAGATAAAATTAACAATACCTTAGTAAAAGTTTTCTAGTTTTCGAGATATCGTCTTTTTTAAGTTTTTTTAAAAAATCCCTACGTTTTGCTCCTTTTTTGCCTGTTATGGGTATAAAAAACTTTAACTTATGATGTTTTTTCCTGAGCTACCACTCATAGTTGGTTGAGACAATTGAGTATTCATTTCATTGAGAACTAGCACGGTACCTTTGCTAAAAAAACTAAATTATTACATTTGGTGTCAATGCGAAAACCTGTACTAAAGTTTTACTAATTACCATGAAAAATATTCCAGTCTGAATCAGCAGATGTCCTCAAAAATTAGCTATATAATAATCTTTCAAGAATAGTATAACATTTGTGAGTTCTTTTTACTAAAAACTGAAAGTTTTGTCATTGAAGGCGTAGTACTTGAGAACTACTACTAATAAAAAATCTTTTGTGACCAAATTACAACTTGGTAGTTGCTGTGATCGCTTTTTATTTCAGCAAATGTCTAAAACAGCTATCCATTATCATTTTTTATTCATTGTTGTATGCAGACATCAAAATAGTGAACAGGTCATTATTTTTTGTATTTTTTTTCACTTCCATTAATTTTTACAACGTTGAGGTGGTACCTGCACACCGCGATCACAGCAACTAAAAAGTTTTAATTTGGACATAAAAGACGGCTGCATTTATTATTTTTTATTTGTAATATTTCGCAAGTATTAATTCAATGACAAAACTTTCAGTTTTCAGTAAAAAGAACCTACAAATGTTATAATATTTTGGAAAGATCATTCAATAGTTAATTTTTAAGGTCATTTGCTGAATCAGTCTGGTACATTTTTTTCACAGTAATTAGAAAAACTTTAGTAAAGGTTTTCGCATTGAAATCAAATGCAATAATTTGTTTTTTCTAGCATTCTGTGCCAGTTTTCAATGAAATAAATAGTTGGATGTCGCAACCAACCATTAATGGTAGATCAGGAAAAAATCGTAAATTAGAAGTCATAACAGGCATAAAAGGAGCAAAAAGGAGGAATTTTTTGGAAAAACTTAAAAGTGGCAATATCTCGAAAACTAGAAAACTTTTACTAAGGTCATTTTGATTTTATCTCCCGCGCAACTCTGGCGTGTTATTTCTGGGACTCCCTGTATATATTTGCTTCTAAAAAGACCTCACAGAAACCTGACGAGAAATGACTCCGCTATTTTTTCTACATTAGTACGATACTACATTGTGAATATCAATACGCAGAGCAAAAGTTTCCATTCTACGAGTAGTTTCCAAAATCCAAGTTGGGGCTGCCCGTACACGTATTACGGCTATGATGCACCATCTGTAAGAACTGAGGTATTTATTTACATTTTCGTCAACATCCCTACTGTCCAATTGACCAACATTGCAATTCTATCACGTGTACAGGGTGGTACAAACTTGCATGGATGGAGTCTTGCTCCTAGACCCAAAAACCATTATGGATTTTTCTGCGTCGTTAACAGTGAAAATACATTTCGAAAGTATCAAGATTACATAAGCTGATCGACTACTAACCTGGGTATGACGGTTTCTCTTTTGATATCAGATAACCATATTTTGATTTCATGTTTGGATATATATATATATATATATATATATATATATATATACAGGGTGTCCGCAAAGTTGGGGTTTTCCTTTACACAACGTGTAGATCTTGAAAACATAAGCAATTTTTCTTAGTACCATATACACCAATGTCTTAAGGGAACCGAGATAAAGGGCTCTGCAACATCAAAAATATCTGAATACCATCCTGTAGCCGCGACATCCCCCAGTGGTACTAGTACACTAGCTCAACCCGACGACAGAACTGGGTCAGGGTCAGTGTGTCAGGTCAGTATGCAACCTTCAACCGACGGTTACGGTCACGCGTGTAGAGGTAAACGAACTCGTATAATCGATTGCGTTTCAAAAAACAACAAGCACTAGAGACGTGGCTAGAGAAGTGCAAGTATCAAAAACTAAAGTGTGGCAAACGCTGCGTGAAGTGGGGCTGTATCCGTTTCACGTCCAACGTGTACAAGCCCTTCAACCTGACGATTTTCAGGCAAGAGTGCGGTTTTGTGAGTGGTTGTTGCATCAACATGACAATAATCCGGACTTTTTGAAGTGCATATTGGTGACAGACGAATCTACGTTCACGCGTAATGGGGTGAATAACTTTCGCAACACTCATGTTTGGTGAGTAGAAAATCCGCACGCTGTCCGTCGGGCACATTTTCAACAAACATTTTCGCTGAATGTTTGGGCTGGCATGGTGGATTGGAAGGGATGCAATATCTAGACTTTTTACGCAACATTTTGCCTTCCTTGTTTGCCTGCGTCTGCTCGGTAGCGCATCAGCTGATTTCATTACCTGTTGGAGCGCTATGATTTCGGGCAGAGACGTACTTAGCCCTTCTCGTCAACTGGAGAGTGAGTACTTCTTCCTTTATTTTTTTTTACTTGGTCGCCCTCGTTTCACTACACATTACCTTTGTTATTTTAAGGGTAGTTGTTTCTGAAAAGGAAAACCCCAACTTTGCGGACACAGTGTATATATACTTTGAAGTTGAGTCATTAATTTTCAGATAATGATTGTAGAAGGAAGATAAACCAAAATATGTGTGTAAAAATAAAAAAAAAAAATTTACCTTGTTTTATAAAGTATCCTCCCAACAAGTATTTCAGTGCGGACCTGTATTTGATCGTGAGGTGCCCTGTGAGGTCTTAAGTCACCTGATTCACGAGCCCGTTGTACTACATTAACAAAGGCACGAGGGGTTGGTTGCACTCGATTGGGAAACCGATCCGCATAAACATGTGCCATTTTTTATTTCGTTTGAGCCACGCAACAGACACTATTCACACGCGACTGACACTGACTGTATGTATAACTGAACTGAATGAAATAAAAACATCGTTCCAAATTCTTTCGCTTTCTTGTTTCCCATGCGATGAACCGATAAGGTGGATTATATCCGTTGTTGCCAAACACGAGTACATGATATTATTATTGAGACAGGGCGGTACTCAAACTTCCAAAGGGCTATAACTTTGTTACTTTAATTTTACCAGAAAAATGGTAAAGGAAAAAAAACATTTCTTTTGGTCAGATCTACTCACTGTTAAAATAAATGACTCAACTTCGAAGTCACCCTGTATATATACTTCTGAGATTTCTGACTACTAGCTGGTGAAATCATAATCATGTAATTTATCGAAAACGCATGGCAACTAGTATCTCCATCGATTTAAAAGAGTATGTAACATAGTACCATCCTGTATATGTGATAGAATTGCAATGTTGGTGAACCAGTCAGTTGAAATGACCGTAAATAAATATCAAGTGACTTACATATCGTACATACAAACTTTGAGTCCATAGGTACCTTTCTTCTAGGTGTTAAGGTTTACAACATAGTATGTTTTTTAAATTAGGCGAAATAAATTCCCCATAAGGTGCAGGGTCGTCTGATGGGGCTTAATGACCGTGGATAATATATCCGTTGTTATTTTTTACTACGCTGTGTAATGGTTCGTCGTAGATCACATAGGTTCACTCTAATATTTTCGCTTGAGAACTTGATTGTCGTTGACTGGAAAAAATGAGCTTGCCCTTCATTACCAAAAAAATGTGTAGCAAGCAGAGGGGTTCGACACTAACAATATTTGAAGTGAATCAAAGAATCACGATGCGCAATAATAATTTTTTTCAAATTATTACAAATCCGTCCATTTTTTGTTATTCGTGTTTACCCCTCATTATCCCAGAAAATATTGTAGCAACAATAAATTCCTGCCGTTAAAAAATATTCGCAAACTAGATTAAACCAAATGATTGTGATACAAAATGTTGAATACTACATAATACATTACATTTGATATAGATAAACTGATACCCAATATACGGCCAGTATAATCACTCTGGCTAATATTTCTCAGACGAGTGCATCTTACGCGCACAGAGAGCAACATCTTCCAGCTAAGAGAGCACCAATATAACTCGAGCTGTCGACCCTCTCGCTTCAGGCAGAAGCAGCGAAAGACAAAGCGGTACAGGCTACAGGGCCGGACTGTGTTTTCAGCTAAGCGTTGACCCGCGGATGGCTATTTTGAGTCCGAAGAAGGGCCTTAAAGATAACCAAAGAAAGAGCTACAACGTCATTTATTCCTATAGCTAGGAAGTTACAGCTCGGGTTCTAATATAATTTTGGCACGAATGTACTGCTATTTCAATGATAGAACATCTTGAATCAGTCAACAAGCGTCTTGACAACATGCTGGGTCCGGCTCTGCGTTTGGGTCAACGATTCTCACATGTTTCAATGCTGCTGCTATATTCAAGTCACATATAAAATGTATGAAAAATTCCATTCTCGGGCGCCAACCAAAAAATCTCCTAGTCCTAGTCTCCGATGAGAAATGTTTACAAATGTAATCAACGACCTTGGCATCCGGCTACAGCAGTTGGTTATAGCATAAAACGAGATAGTTTTAAAATAAACCAAATTCCACACCAACCGGGAAATCTCACACGCGGTTTTTTAGCTTGTCTAGCGCCAGTCTGAGTTTTGCTGTGATCTGTGATGTTCTCGAATTGTGTCGGACGTTTGGGATTGTTGTCCAGGCCACATCGACATATACAAAGGAAATGTGGTCTACACGGACGACCAAATTTTACCAAAGTGAGTAACCTAATAAAAGCATTTTTGTCAATAAAAATTGACGCCAAGTTCTGTGACTCACCAGTGTTGTTGGTAGCGATTCAAAAGTCTTAATTCTTAAATAATCGAGCAAACAAGCACCGTGATCGCAAAGATTTCTACACTTCAAAGCTTTTGGCAATTTATCAACATCGCCGACTACGGTAAAGTTAAATATTAAGCCTACTTGGACACACACCGATTTTGTACGGCCGGTAAAATATCGCCTGATTTTTTATCGGTAGGCTCTGCTTACACACGCGCCGGTTTTTTTACTGGTGCAGTGCTGATTTCAATATTATTTTTAATGAATCCCCAACGAGTTGTTTCAATGTGGTTACTGTGCCAGCGTATAAAGCGTCGGAGAATTAAGCGAAAGTTCTGGATTCGTTTTTCTCTTTGGACTCTATTTGTTTAAAATCCTCATTCAGTTCGCAGCAAACTTGGCTCCAAGCTTCTCTAGTAGCGTTTCTGCCTTTGAATATGTCCAAAGTTTTATTCCAAAAAACTGGTATTGCTTCCCCTAGCGCAATAAGTATGTCATTATCGATGTTCATCTCTTTATCCATTGTAAACGTATATGCAGTCGTAATCACGGCCATTAAATAATACGCGCCCCTTCCCACTTCAGATGGCCCACTTCAAGATTTGTACCAAAATATGCCTTTATAAACTGAACATGACGAAACGAAACGTAAAAAATACATATTTGAAATCACTTTGACCTATAACTAATAGAACATCGGACCAAATAAACAATGTGCGAATAAATGCGCGAAGTTAACAAAGCAACAATTGAAAGATTACAATTGGGTAACATCACCTTTATTTTTTATTACGGCTGAAATTCTTTGGGGCATAGTGTTAACCAAGTTTTGGCAAAAATTTGGTGTAAAACAATCCCATATTTCTTGAAGCTTTTGTCTCAGTTCGGTAATTGTACGAGCAGGATGTTGTCGTAGAACCTTTTTCATCTCGTGCCACAAAGTTTCAATAGGTGACAGATCTGGACTGCTAGAAACCTATTTCCAAAGTGGTACATTATTTTCTTCCATCCATTTTATAGCCTTTTTTGAGGTATGGCACGCTGCACCATCTTGCTGAAACACAAAATCTTGGCCGGATGTCAAACGTTCTTCCATCACTGGTAAAAGCGATTCTTCTAAAAATGCCAAATATTTGTATCCACATTTCCATCAATAAAATGAAGTTTTCCTACTCCTTTTGATGACATACTGCCCCAGACCATAATGGATGCTGGAAATTTCACTTTTCTCTTCAGACAGTCAACATGGAATGCTTCATTTTTTTTTGCGAATAACTGTAGGTACTGCGACTGTCACCAACACAAACTTCGAATCGGGCCTCATCACTCCATTGTATTGCACACCATTGTTGAGGTGTCCACTGTCTATGTTATTTAGCCCGTCTAAGCCGATTTTTCTTTTGCAGGGGAGTTAATAGTGGCTTTTCTTTGACCTACAAAAACGTTGTGCAACTTTAGGGTTTTTACTTCACTTTTTATAAGAAAACTTACCTTGCAAGTACTAAATCAGAGTTTGTGGACCTCTCTATGAGTCGTGGACCTCGACATTCTCCTTCCAACAGCGTCACTCCACAGAGCACTTAATTGTAAATAATTGGCACGCCTCTTTTTCACGATTATTCTTCTTAATGCTCTTCGGTCGGCATATCGTGGCTTAATATACATATATAAGTCTAACAAAGTTGCAATTTCTGAGTTTGATTTCCCAGAATTAAAAAAATTAATTATCAGTAACCGCATTTTCTCACTAATAACCTTTCCTCTACCCATTTTGAAAACCTTAACTACCCAAAACTATTTGAAATGTATTCTGACAGCTGTGATTAATAAAAACATTTGACATGACTTTTATTTTTCACAGCCACCTATGCGTTATAGACTTGTTTTGCATTGAAATGAAAATAGGTTGATATGCTGTAATTGCAACATGTGTTACTTTTATGCTGCAAATTTGATTAGGGAGTGATGATCAAAATATTCATTGTTAATATTTTAAATCTATAAGACTGCTACATTTTTATTATTTGTGTTTGATAAGAAAAAACTAAGATTTCAATAGTTGGGCCAACTGAAGTGGGAAGGGGCTCGTAGGTGAGTGCAAGCTCCTATTCAAACACGTATATGCCTCTCTCTATATTCCCGGTACCGGCGCATCACAGTGACAATGTCCGTCTGCTAACCGACTTTTTTCCGGCGCCGTTCGGTGGTCGGCCAGTGTGCAAGCTTCAATGCCGTCCAATGGTTTACTATAAAAATGTGGTCGGCCGATATTTTACCGGCCGTCCAAAATCGGTGTGTGTGTGCAAGTAGCCTAGGATGTAACGTATGTCACAACAAAAGTTAGAAAATCGATATTTTTACGAACTGAGGAAAGTATTGAGTTTTAAAACACTGAAAACAGTATCTTTTGCTATTGTGGAATCTCTCATCAACTAGGGCATAGTAGTTTGGGGGATGAGGAGAGAGGGATCAGGATCAACAATTATGAATAAATTACAAATTGCACAAAAAGATACCCTAAAATTTATGTTATTCAAAATTAAACGGAACTGAAATGATTTATTAATACATAGAAAGTAAACTTTTATTTTAACACCAAGACAATTTCATTATAAAGCAATGACCCGATTCAAGCTTAAAACACGATATTTATGGGCAACATATTACTCAACTGTACAAGAGTGTTGCGTCCCCAAGCGGTGATAATATCCAAAAAATCGCTGCTAGTCTTCTTTTCTCCAGCTCAATGTTACTTCCCGCATACTTGATTCAACGGTACTAGGGCGTTGAGAGGGGGGGGGGGGCGTCCATGGTGGAGCTGGCAGCAAGAATCTAATGGATATGTCACCCATTTCTGTCGGTCTGTCAGTATTTCTTTAGCAATCTTTTAACCACGTAATCTCAGAAATAGCTTCACCGATTTCTATGAGATTTAGAGAAGATAGCAGTAGGCAATATTACTTAAATTTACTTCCCACGCCTACTGGCGGATTTCGAGTTACTACTGTATGCCAAGGACGCAAAGGTTTTGTAGTAGAAGAAAAGGGCTAAAACGAAAAAAAAAGTAAAAATCGCTCGAACATCGTTTTTTAACGTTTCATAGGATTCTGATCATTTTTGAAAAAACATTAGACGTCAAAAAACCTGGGGTTGGGGGTGGGAAGGTTTAACTCAATTTTTCGATTCTAGTACCTATATACACTCGCCACATTGGTAATATTATGCATCTATTAGACATATTTTTCGCGTCATAGATTTTTCTTTACATTAGCCCTGAAATATTTTCGGGAGACGGATAGTGTACCTATCGACTGCGGCTGCTGCTGGCGTCATACTCCGACCGTGATGACTGTACTGTTATGGAATCACACGTATGTCTATCGCGTAACAGCATAGTGTTTTCTATGCTCTGGCCGCGCTATCGCCGTGTCAGAGTTAGGTATCGATGAGAGGCGACGTTTCCAGGTGCACTACCGGTAGAGCAGTGAAAGAATATCTATGGACTAATTGAATGGACATGTTTGAATTTTTTCTCAGAGAGTCTAGTTTGGGGTAAACATATTTCTCTACGTACAGATAAGGGCGTTGCTTGGAAAGTGCAGAGTCAACCTACTTGACCACATTTTTTTAAAAACTGGTGCAGAGGTGAGGTGATATAAATAAAAAACAAAAAGATTTCAGACTGTTCCCGAAAATTTTTTTATTTTACATTTTTTATATGGTTTTATGAAATGATAAAAACTTTGAAAATTATAAAATTTATTTTAGGGGTTTTTCAGGTTTCTGATCACCAATCAAAATGTTCCTAAATCTCAAGACATTGCAATTAAAAGTTGTTGGCCTGCTTTATCAGTGTATCTTCAGGTTGATAATAGTTTCTGTCATAATGGTTCTGCTTTCTTGTTTGAGAAAAAGCTTTGACCTAAAATATCTATTTATTGCAGAACAACTATAAAGCTATCCGTGGAAATTTTGGATATTTGGAGGAACAGCACATTCAGTTTTTCCAAAAATTACTGGGCTATGATAGAATACTCACAGATCTTTCCGACCTTGAACAGTACAATGTGGACCGGTATTGTCAAGTAAGAGGTTTGTTAATGTACTTATGTAATATTTCGAAAAATTATATTGTTGAGTCAAGAAAGGAACGCAAAAAGTGTATCATAACATTCCTTCGTCAATTCTGGTTACAAACAGACACAATGCGTATACAATTTTCAAATGCGATGTATTGCAAGAAAAAAGTTACCTGCGTGATCTAATGTTGCATCTGAAACTTTTACAATATCCTTGAAGTATAATCTTTTGTAAAGCAATACATGTAGATGTTTCCAATAGATGACTAATACTTCAGAGAGTGGCCTGAATTGAACTTCAGTTCAGGGGGGTGGTATTGGTTTCCGGGGGGAGGAGAGAGGGGCCAGAGTGATTTCGGTCTGCAATTACGTCATATTTAACCGAATGATCTTAAAAGCGCGGTACACGTAGGGCTCACCTACTAAATTTTCCTTTGCAAGCTATTTATATCTCGTCAGCTCACTAATCCTAAGCCTACGGTTACTGTGGGTACGAATTCTGACGTACTATCGTCAGAGCGGTCCGGTGGACCTTTGTTTAGTTAAAAGTCTCGTCGGTCTGTTAGTCTGCTAGGTCTGGCTACCCAGATACCAAACATGTTTTAGGTGAGAGTTCTGACATATTCGTCCGCTTAAACAAATACCGATTTTCCCATGATCGTGTTTTACTGACAGCGAACAGTACGTCAAAATATATACGTTGTCGTCAGTTATTTGAGCGTTCAGATTTGATTTTGTTGTACGACTGTATCTATTTTGAGTACTTACTATACTACTCGTCGTTGGTTCTCAAGGCGGTCCGGAGGACCTTAGCCTTTAGGTCATAGTCACTGCAGTGTCAGTGTCTGTCGTCAGTCTGTCAAGTTTGGTGGCCCAGAAAGCAGCCAAGTTGTGGGGAAAGGGGAGAGGGAGATAGAAAGGAAGGAATATGAGTTTGAGTTATTGGTTGTTGGTCCAATCATATTAGCAAATTTCCCCGAAATATTTGTAAAGTCTGGTATTATTGGGGCAAATTGTTCAAGGGGGTATTTAAAACATGGATGCATAAAATGGGCACACCAATTCTTGTGGGAAAACTTTTTATTTGACAACAATGAATGAAAAAACGTGTTTTTGGGATACAATCGAAAGTGTTGATAGGGACGAAAAATCTTTTTATATATGATTTTTAGGTATATTAGAGACCTACAAAAAGAGACCACAGATTAAAAAAATATCCGACTAGTAGCAAAAGTGTTATGGTCGAAAAACAGGCAAAATTGAAGGTTTTCGCACTTGTTGGTAATGCGACGATAATTTCACGCAACTACTTGAAATTCTTCAAATCCGTAGGATTCATACTTCTAAATAACAACAACAAAATTGGAGTATATTGGCCACGTAGTTTTTTGAGAATTCCTAATTATTTATCCCAAAACACCTGTTTTGCGGCAATCACTACTAACCTAACTAGCAAAGTAGTGGTATAAGCTTTTGGTAAAAGAACCGTTCAGCCATAAAAGCTCTCTATTGTTGTTGCCTGAACACCAAAATGCTGGCTTAATGTTGTGTGGAAGGCAAATTTGCTTTCTGCAACATATTTGCTCTAAAATGAGCAACACCTTATAGGGCAAATTTTTAACTGTTGCATAAACGTTTATACGACTATTTTATACGGCACATTTGCAAGTTAGTCAAAATGGTTGTGTTGTGGCACCCATGCTAACGTTTATAAAACAAACCCGAGCCTTGTTGCTTTGCTGTGACATTTACTACATTAGCCAACAAATTGCTCCCAACGAAAGCACTTATACAACTGTTACATATGCTAAATATGTTGGTAAACAACTTCACCATAACCTAACTTTCTGGTGTCATATTTTTGTTAAAATGCCATAACCAATGTTTTAAGACAAACAACGCATGCATATCGGTTCAAAAGGTTTTATCAACTGTTCAAACAGAAGATATAGATCTGGTACAAATTCTGGGTAAATCATTCGACTCTGTCGGTATTTCGTTTCAGACATTTGTCAAATTGTTGTATAATACCTGCAGGCAACACCAAAATATTCTAATAACCTAAAGACAACATGGACGATGCCATGATTGTACACAACCACCCGCCATATTGGGCAAACATTTATTCCTCTATTTAATATTAAATAATTATGTTTCAGTTCGAAATAACAGATATAAAGTGATAAACATTAGTGTAATTGTGTCTAAATATAGGATTTGTGGAAGATTTAACGCAGATAAGTTCAGTTTTCCATCTTAAAAATCTAGACATAATTTTGATCTTTGTCAAAATATGAATCAAATACGAAGCCCGTAGAAATTGGGTAACTAATTTGCACGATAATCACAATAAAATTTGCTGCGCAAGTAATTCAATAGCCATATATCAAAGTTTATCATATACCTGTGTATAAAATTCACAATGACCGATATGTAAGTAAACAAGATGACTGTAATGTGTTAAATATTCTTCACTTCGTCTATACAATACATAGGAAATAGTTTGGTTGCAATAAAGTAGAATCACGTAAGAGAATAGTTGTATAGTTGACAAAAACTGAATCTTGCACTGACGCAAATGTCCTATAGCGGCTGCAAGAGGCTTACACTTTTGTTTTATAACTGTTACCTTTTTTTTTTTTTTTTTTTTAACGAGGGGGGAATGCATTTACGCACCATACCATAGCACGAGCTACGACGTGTGTGGGGCTCCAGGGTCTTGAAGAGATCACCTAATACCCACTAAACCCTAAACCTCCGCGTGGCCCGACTCATCAGCGTCTCGGTAGGCCATGTGTTGTGCGTGACCTGCGGTCTGCTACAACGTCTCCTCATGTGTTTCAGTCTCTGGGAACGCCGGGTTGGTTCCCTTTACCTCGCACATTCTATCGATGTCGTTAAGCGATCATCGATAGAGGGTCTGCTAGTTTCTCTTGAAACTCTTGTTTTCGAAAAATCAAGAGTTTCAAGTCATCTTACCAATATGTTGTTCCTGGTCCTGGTCCTGAAGGGTCCTGGTCCTGGTGGGTCCTGGTCGTGGCGGGTCCTGGTTGGTCCTGGTCCCGGTGGGTCCTGGTCCCGGTGGTTCCTGGTCCTCTGCATCCACGCCGTGCGGGGGGGGGGGGGGAGCAGCCGCAAATTCTCCTAGTCTCCTAGTCAAGGTTCCAGTTAGCGGGTGCCAACTGGGACCTTGGTCTGGGGTACCTGGTTCTGCGGTTGCGAGGCCTCTCGTCCGGATCGTAGTCCATGAGGAATCGTAGCTGCTCGTTCGGGTGGTCCTGGGCTTTCTCGAAGGTCTTCTCCGCTTTTTTCCTCATGTACTCGTGGATGGTATCCCAATGCAGGTCTCTACGCAAGGTTGAGTTCCTTACGTAGGAAGGTGCATTGGTGGCGATCCGGAGTAGCTTCATCTCTAGAGCAGCAAGTCGCTTGCGGTAGCTGGGGGCAGCGTACCCCCAGACCGCGGAGGCGTAAGCGAGCTGAGGTCTGGCGATGGCCTTGATCAGCCGTAGCTTGGTCGCTAGCGGCATCTGGCTGTGTCTACCCAGTAGTGGATAGAGTTGAGCCATGGCTGCTCTGGTTTTTGCGATGACAGCTTCTATGTGCGCTTTCCAGGTGAGGGACTTGTCAAAAACGATCCCCAGATATTTGACATTGTCGCTCCACTGGATATCTTCATCGAAGATGGATGCTTCGAGAGGTCTTGCAATCCTTCTTCGTTGAATGAAGATTGCCTGCGTCTTCTGGACGTTGATGCGGATTTTCCATTTCACGCACCAGTCCTGAATTTGGTCCAGTTCACCCTGTAGTCTCCTACGGATGATCTCGGGTCGTCTATGCTTGGCGGCTATAGCAGTGTCGTCTGCATATAGGGCCAGCATTGTGTCAGCTGTCTTCGGCACATCGTAAGTATAGATGTTGTAGAGCAGGGGGGCTAAGGCTGACCCCTGGGGCACGCCTGCTTCCAGCTGACGTCTTGTTGAATGGCATGTACCAATCTTCACCGTGAACCATCTTTGTGTTAGATAGCTCTGGATCAGTTGGCACATGTTCGCATCGATTCCGGCGGCTTCCATTTTGGCGATGAGTCCATCGTGCCAAACTCGGTCGAAGGCTCGTTCCACGTCCAGCAGGACGAGACCGGTTGCCTCCTGGAGATTGAAGCCGCTGGTGATGTTTTCCGTCAGTCGTAGCGCTTGGAGTTCCGTGTTGTGGGAGGATCTGAAGCCGAATTGCTCTGGGGGGAGAAGTTGCAGTTCTTCTGCCTGCTTCTCTAGTCGAACGGCGATAGCCTTTTCGACTACTTTGCCCACCGAGGAAACCAGGCTGATGGGCCGGTAGTTCTGGGGCAACTTCCGGTCCTTGCCTGGCTTGGTGAGCATTATAACCTGGGCTTCCCGCCACCGCCGCGGGAAGTGGTTAAGTCTCAGAGTGGCATTGGCGATGTTGGTGAGCGCAGCAATGCCTTTGGTGGGAAGGTTCTTCAGCATCCTATTGTTGATGCCGTCCCTTCCCGGCGCCTTTCTGACCTTCAACCTGCGGATGATCAGACGGATTTCCTCTGGACTGGAGGGGTGATCCGTCTCCTGGCCAGGTGGTCGACTCCTCATGTTTTCGGCTGCGACTTCCACGGCCTCCTCGTGGTTGTCGTCCTCGTCTTCATGGTAATTGAGTCTGCATTCGGATTCTAGCGAATCGGCGAATGCTTCGGCTTTTTCTTCACTGGAGTAGGCCAAGCCGCGTTGGCCGTGAAGAGTGGGGATCGTGGTGCGCTGACGACGAAATTTTCGCTGCATAGACCAGGCCGTACCATCCTGGGTCTCTAGTTCTGCACAGGCTGCATTCCATCTGTTGTTTTGGAGTTCCGCGAGTGCGTTTTTCAGAGCTAACGATGCTCTGTTTCGCGCAACTCTCGACTCCTCTGTCAACAGCTGGAGATGTTCTCGCTTGAGTCTTCTGTTCTCCCTGATCAGGTGCCTAATATGGTGCGGTGCTGGACCATTTAGGTATCTA